TCTCATGAAGTCTGCTGGGCTGCCAGAAGGGATGTCTGACTGACCGCTTAGGCTCAATTCCCCCGGGGAGCGCGTCTATGCCAGCAGGTGGTCATCTCCTGAGGGGTCCCAGACTGTGAGAGGGCACAGGTCGTGCTGAGGGACCCTCCCTCCCCCTGAGTGCACAAATTTTTGTGCCACCGAGCTCTAGTCCTATATAATAAAAGCCTAGGTGGTATCACTTGTGATGTCATCACAAGATGGCCGGCAGGGGAGGTCAGTTGGGGGTGAACAGGCCAGCAGGGGAGGGCAGTTGTGGGCAATCGGGCCGGCAGGGGAGGGCAGTTGGGGGTGACCAGGCCGGCAGGGGAGGGCAGTTGGGGGTGACCAGACCAGCAGGGGAGGGCAGTTAGGGGTGACCAGGCCTGCGGGGGAGGGCAGCTGGGGGCGACCAGGCCTTCGGGGGAGGGTAGATGGGGGCAACCAGGCCTGTGGGGGATGGCAGTTGGGTGCGACCAGGCCGGCAGGGGAGGGCAGTTGGTGGCGACCAGGCCGGCAGAGGAGGGCAATTGGGGGTGACCAGGCCAGCAGGGGAGGGCAGTTGGGGATGATCAGGCTAGCAGGGGAGCAGGTAGGCGTCAATCAGGCCAGCAGGGGATTGGTTAGGGGGTGAGCAGGCTGGCAGGCAGAAGAGGATAGGGGCAATCAGGCAGGCAGGCAGGCGAGCGGTTAGGAGCCAGCGGTCCCGGATTGTGAGAGGGATGTCCGACTGCCAGTTTAGGCCCGATCACTATGGGGCCTAAACCAGATTGGGGAGGTCTGTTTGACCTCCCAGATTGGAGAGGATGCAGGCCAGGCTGAATTTTGTGCATCGGGCCTCTAGTATAAATATAATTTCCAATTAATTAGGTTAAGCCAGAAAAATCGAAAGATATTCAAACACCATTAACATGATGTAATTAACTGATCTGTGTTCCCACAAAATTCATATGCTAAAGTTCTAATCTCCAATGTGACTGTATATGGAGATAGGGCTTTTAAGGAAATAACTAAAGGTAAATGAGGTCATAGGGGTGGAGCTCTAATCTGACAGGACTGGTGTCATAAGAAGAGAAAGAGATACCAGAGATATCTCTCTCTCCCCCTCTCTCCTTCCTCCTTCGCTCCCTCTACAAAGACATTCAGAGAAAAAGGCCAGATGAGGACACCTATCTATAAGTCAAGGAGAGATGCCTCACCAGAAACCAGCCCTGCAAACACCTTGACCTTGAACTTCTAGCCTTAGGAACTGTGAGAAAATAAATTTCTGCTGTTTCAGCCACCCAGCCTGTGGTATTTTGTTATGGCAGCCCTCCCTGTCTAATACACATGGTCATAGGACAAATGAGGCTGTAGTAATTCTCTGAGAGTACTTCATACAACAGTCGTCAGTTTCCAAGTTGCTCTAAAGAACCTTTAATCTTTTTTTTACAAAATAAAAACAAAACAAAATATTGAACTGAAAGTTAAATTTATTTTTTGTTCATCTTCACTTAAGGATTATTTTTTCCATTGATTGTTTTAGAGAGAGTGGAAGGAAGGAAAGGGAAGGGAGAGAAAGAGAAACATTGATGTGAGAGAGACACATTAATTGGTTGTCTCCTGCATACAGCCCCGACTGGGGCCAGGGATCGAACCTGCAACCCAGGTATATGCCACACCGGCCAGAGCTTGAAGTTATATTTTATCCTGTTTTGAATATCAACTTTATTTTTCCTTGAAGTACTTAGGCAAA